CTGTTTAAATCATAAAGCAACAACAAACGGCTGCATTGTCTTTACATGGATGCGAAAGACACCAGTCTTTTTTTTTTTTTTTTTTTTTGTAAGTTTCTTGTAAACAGAAAAGACGGTATCTTTTTATCTCTCTGTCTATTTATCGTCTCTTTTTCTATCCGCTCTTTACATTTTCAACAGAAAAGAAATAAATTCATAATTGGCTCAAAAGTTTTGTATATGAAGATTTTTCGGACAGCAAGCTATTTTTATTTGGGTATGGGTATGGTATAAAGGAATGGTTTGTCAACTTATTTTAAATCAAAAAATATTTGTCCGAGGTTTTACTTTATAGCACGAAAATTGAAGAAATGTATAAAATGCTCAATAACAAGAAGGCTTGACACGATTCCACGTAAAGTATTCAACACGCTAAAGGATGCAAGGTTCATATTAAATTAGTACGTGAAAGTGGAATTCCACGCGTGGCTTAGCTTAGTTGCTGTCTTTGAGTTATGATGTGGCTCGACTCTTCGCCAACGTCAACGTACAAAAATCAAAATAGTTGACAACCTCAGCTTCTCTGGGCCATGAGAAATGATGTTGAAATTGAGGAAACTCATATTTGTTCCAGATACTGACACATCACCGTAAGAAATTTCTAAACCTCAAACCAAGAAAACATTGTAAGTACAGTTATAAAAGCAAAAGACATTTCTGTAAAATTACAGTGTTCTTATATCTTTTAAAGATTGTCTGCTTGCCTACTCCCGACTACTGACTACAATTTTCCCGACTCAAGTCTTTTTTATACAATCCAGGACTCGATTTTTTTTTCTTATTTGTCCTGTTGAGACAAATCGGCAGGGGATGCTCACGATTACAAGGTACTTGCTTCCAGTACATGATCAGTACATATTGGTCCCTGTTGGCACAGCAGGTAAGAACATTGTGTGTTTTTAAAGGCTCATTATATAACATGTTTTTGAGAGGAACTTGGATTTAATTCTACAAATGGTAATCCAACTTATACTCACACAAAAATGTAATCAGAAACTTAAGAGATAGAATGAAACTGGTGGAGGAAAAAAACGGTGTACATTTGGAACACGATATAAAATGACGCCTGTTACGATACTCTAATATTACCAAAATTAGCTACTGCGTCAACTGTATTTGCTATTTTTATTGTGTGACGTCACATGGATGTCCGCAAGCTGAAGAACATCAGCACGAGCACGTGATCGTCTGCGAGGATACAGGATTGGAGAGACTTGGCAATGGTCTGATGGTTTGTCGTACTTTGTAATTCGACACAGGATGTTTAAAATACCGTGTCGTGAGAGTACATATTTAGGAATTGCCGTCCATAGTGTTTGATGTTCTCAGAGTGGTGTAATTCGATCTGGACTGGAGGACAATCATGAAATGAACAGCTGAGTAAAAGTTGTCTGAATTTGTTTATTTTGTCAATTTGTGTGTAACTGTAACTGTGTGTTTGTTTAATATTATTATTTGTTTTTCTATAAAATTTGTTTAAGTTTTAATTCGTTTTGGCTGGTGTGTTGTTGTAAGTGTGTCACAGCGAGTTATAAATAGATTTGTGTATTCGGCGCACGTTACACGTCAAATCAAAATATGCCTGTAATGACCATGTTTCATATCTGTTTAACAAATAAATAATCTATCTTACGAAAAACTCTTGTGTTAATTACATTGTATAACTTTGTTTTTTTATTTTTTTTTTTGCAAACTTTTCTTTCATGAATGCCGCATAATTTTTTTTATAAGATGGCAAAGTCGGGACATATTTGTTGAAAAACCCTGTAATTACATGTACATTTCTAAGGAGGAAGTTCTTCAATTCAATTTCAATATTCCAAACAACCCTAACTGGATATTATAACTTCATAAAATCTTCACAAACACAGATACACCGCATGTGCTGCATGTTTTCTGAAAGAAAATTCCACTGAAAATTCTTGTCTTCTACAAGTCATCTAAGATAAAATAGGAAAATGCACAAGTTCACGACGTCACAATTAGCATTTGGTAGGTCATATTGGAAAAACGATTTGTATGTATTTACTTCATGGGATTTCACTAATTAAGAAAGAATGATCTTTATTTTTTACAAACATCCTTATGTTTGAAAAATTCAGTGCCGGATTTGTATAGACACTTTTTCTGAATGAAACGCTACAATATGATAATCAAATAAAACAGTCAATGTAAAAGCAAGCCTTTCTAAAAGTTGATGACAAAGTCCGTTGACTAAATATCAAACATTTTGGCAACTCTCAACAAATAATTGACAGAAATAACATTTTGTCAAATGTAGATAATGATACGATTAAAAATAATTTAAAGCATTAAATTTAATTTCACATGATTTTTAAAAATCTCAAGATGGACTTAAATAAAAATTAAACAAAAGAAAACTTACAAAAGTTAAATGTAGCTTACGGCAATGGCGTCCAAAATGCTAAAATCAATTTAGAGTCCGTCATTTTTTTCTTTTTAAGAAAAACACTGTGAATTTAACAGATATAGAATAAAAAACCTTTTAGAAATGCATTAAAGATCACAAAACATGATGAAGAACGTTAACAAACTCTGTTAATTCCTCAGATTTTTTATTTTTATTGAAACAAAGAACAGAAACTACAAATCTTATCATGTTGTATTGCCTAAGAAGAAATATTAAATATTTCCACCTTTTAAAACCTTATCTTAAAAAGTGGGCACTCTCTCAAAAGTTTTGTGAGGTTTTGATCTTTCGTCCAAATTGATAAAGGAATCATGATGATGAATTTTGTGTCCTTCTCAATTACGTTGACTAAAACTTGAATAAGTGTTTGCTTTAACCTTTTGATGCTAACTTCTTGATCTGAATGTATCCAGTCTCTAAAAATATACATTCGTTCATATCTATTTTTATTTTTCATCCATTTATTAAAATCGTTTTCAGCTTTGGTTTTTTCACCCAACATCTTGGCTGCCTCTGCAATTGTGGTTTCATCTACTGTTGTGTGCGAGGGAAGAAATACAATTCTTTTGTTTCCCTCTTTATTCTCTTTAATGTTTTTAACGAGATCTAAAAATAAATTTATAATTCTTTATATCCAACCTTAAATAACCATTTAAGAAATATTCGGACCCTTTAAATTTAACATTTCATTAAAAAATAATCAAAATTTTGAAAATTATTTCAATAAAGTATTTTCAATACCATATATGAGGATTGTCCCAAAAGTTCGTGGACATTGGGGTTATTATTAAAAAATGGTTCAAGATATTCTTTTTGCATACTTTATACATTAGATTTGAAAATATAAGTCAGAATAGTTTGGTTTTTATTGTTTGATATTTTGTATATATATATATATATATATATATATATATATATATATATATATATATATATATATATATATATATATATATATATATATATATATATATATATATATAGCACAATTTACAACAACTCTTAAACTAACATAACTGCCCTAAGTGAAGAAATATTGATATAGAAAGCACAAAGAAACTCACTTTTACATGGATACCCACTTCCGCCCCAGCCCGGGGTTGGACTCTCGACCTTCGGAATCTGTCTCCTAGCAGTGCAGGAACAGCGCGCTAGACCGCTCGGCTATCTAGGCAAGTAAAATAACTTGCTTTCGATGCCGATGGAATTCTCGCGGCAGTTTTTTAGCTTGCCTAGATAGCCGAGCGGTAGCGCGCTGTTTCTGCACTGCTAGGAGACAGATTCTGAAGCATTCTGAGAGTATTGCATAAGCAATACATGTCCACTACCAAATAACCTAATAAAATAATCCACATAAAGACGAAAATTCAACTCATTTTTTCAACGTCTTTTTCTGGCTTCATATTTTCGATGTTGACCTCGGAATTTAGCGCAGCACGAACCCAATCTTAAACTGTTATCAAAAATTAAAAATGCCATAATTATGTCAAAAATCATTGAAGCGAAACGAAATTCAAACCTGATCTGAAACCCATTAATATACACTCACATACCAAAATTCAGCTCAATATCTGCAAGCGTTTAAAAAAAAAGGTGCGGAAAACCAAGTAGGAGAGACTGACGGGACGGACAGCTAGACGGACGGACGGACTGACTCAGTGGAAACCTTTAGTACCCTAAGGTATACCGTTAGGGTACTAATACAGTGATCTGATTAAATTGATGATTTTCTTCATAAAACGAGTGAATGTTGATTAAAAATTAAAGCTGTTATCGCCATTTACTGACACATTTAGTATTGCTTACTAAATATACAATGAAAATATACTGTAAAATGGCATATTTTCGAGAGGTCAATTTTTCGTATTTTGATGAAAATCTATTGGTTCGTGGGGATTTGATTTCCTGGATTAAGAATTTTGTTCAGTAGTAATATATTTTTTGTATATTAGTTTTTACTCATTAATGGTCTGTATTAAAATATTATCGTACACGTTTGCTTTTGTGGACTTTATAAAGAAAATTAGGCATTTGTCAACTTTTTGGACAACCCTCGTATATCACTGTGATCATTCATTTTAAATCTACCAAAGGATCACATGATATGTGATTTTGTTTGTTGTTTATTGTTGTCCCTATAGAGAAATTTTCACTCATGAAGATGCCATCATTTACCGATGGAAAGCTGCAAATTTTGTCCTACAGTGTACATATACGTGTATATTCGGCACTTGGGCCAGTGAGCAGCGAGGGATTTTTGTCGTACCAATGGTCTTTTGCAAAAAGTAATGACTTTTACAGTTACTTGGACATTTAAACCTGTGTCATGTAGTGAGGTACAAAACTAATGATAATACATATGAAAACCTTCCTAATGGTCGTATGTATGGTGTTAGGGGCACTTACATGTTAAGGCCGGGAGTTGAGGGTAAGATGGTTGTCGTTTTGTTGAAGGACAACTTATATGTGCACTGAAATAAACTGTTTGCTTTTTTTGTTGAATTAAATGTGGAACCAAAGATTTATATCACAAATGAGCTCCAAACATTGTCCTAGTATGACAATAAGCCGTCAACTGTAAAAGTCAGCGCTTCTCGCAAATGGCCAGTACCAAATGTGACATGTGGAACCTCGGTTTATACGGTCTCTTTCGAAGGACCGGTCTCCACGTTTCACAGTGGGAGTTGAACCCGTGACATAAGCATCAACTCCTTACTTCACGACTCTAGAGCAGACGCTCTAACCATGCACTGCGTCACGGGGGCGAAAGTATCCAGTTGTAACAGCGTGTATAATGGAAGACTTAGTTTGATTTTTTCACGTGTAAAGTAATTACTAGGTGAGAAATAAAAGATTATCACGATTATTCTTCTTTATTGATGAGACTTAATAACGTAAAAGTTTTTGTTCTAATTATTCCATAAAAAGTCTATTGAAATTGTAGACAACAACAATTATGATATAAAATAAGCATACAAACCATTTAGTTTTTTGTCAAGGTCTGTAGAATCATCATTTAGATCTGGGCTGTGATTATAGTCTAAAATATATATTACCTGTATTATATGAAATATACAATTTTAAAGGGTATACAAATGTGAATATAATAAATTTATAATTAGTAACGAGAGTGTTGTATCAGGTGAATGCAATTGTAAAAGTCAACTAAAATTACAAGTAATAGACATGAAAAAAAGTAATTTCGATTATATGTTTGAAAACTTTTCAGAGAAAAAATTCTTGAATTTTTGCATTAAATATATAGAAATATTATTACCTTCTTTTCTTGAAATGTTGGTGTTGTCATTATATTGTTAAAGAAACTAAATTGTTAATTTCTTAGATTGATTCGTTAGAGTGCATATACAATATGTCCTTAGACTGGTTCATGAGGGAATTCCCCAGCGATAAGAAAAGCGGCATTAGATGGAGACTGGAAAACAATCTGGTTGACCATGTGCTCAGAAAAGACCAGCACAACAAGAAAGAGCATTTTCGACGGTTGATGGCAAGAGAAAGAGAGACAGGGCCAAAAACAACATGGCAAAGAACATCAGAGATAGAGCTAATAGAGATAGGGTTGATATGGAAGATAATAGAAAGCAAAGGATAGGACTGTGTAGAGGGAATGTGTGGCTGTCTCATGTGACACCTGGCATAAAGAGGCCTAAGTAAGTAACCTATTAGTAACTACATGTACATGTACCTTGTATCATAATCTCTTCTTCAGGTGAATGATTGTCTTTATTTTTTCCTCCAGCCCTCGACTCAATTGCTTCTGAAATTTAAAATTCATTATTTTGATACCGCTCAGACGATGGCAAATGTATATGGATAGTTCAATGTGGAAAAAATACCTCTTCTGTGTCTCCTTCTAAACACTAGACATTTTATGACGAGAAAAAGCAATGCCACGCCAATTAGTATAGAAATGATACTAATTATTATTGGCATGACTGGAATGGCATTGGATGTATTCTCGGAAGATGAAGTATCATTGGCAGATGTACTGTTCTTTGTAGTTATTTCAATCGTTAGAGGAAGAGTAGGTAAGGTGCTGCAAAAGAATTATAGCATGGCTTATTTTCTTTAAGTGTAAGATTAATCGATAATCATTGATAATCACTGGCTTATTAATAATTCTATCAATATATTCAACATTTTTGTACGCACGTGCTAGATTTCAGTACAGTGGATGAAACTATGTGGAAACATCCAGGATCTGTTTTAGCAAAAATGTTTTTGATAAAACTAAACACCACATCATGACATGACATGTATTCCGTTTTGTTGGAATAAAAGTTAGATACATGTATATAAAATGTCATACATCGTAAACACTCTGCATTAAATTGTTTTATTCATTTGCTTACAGCTCTAAATATTTCTTGAAATCCTTAAATATAACCATTTTAAAACTAAAACAAGGTCAATTAATCTTATCATCCTCATTTATAACAGTATTATAAAGATATTTAATCATTTTAACCTGTTTCACAATTTAATTATCAGATATTTAATTTAAAATGTTAACATACAGACGTAAACAGCATTAGACCAGTACGTTGTAGTAGGACAGTTGTTCTCATTAGATTTGCATTGATAAACATCTATTCGTCGAGCTTTGAAATTAAATTCTGGGCACATACCTAGAAAATAAATATATATATAATTATTATTAATTGGAATTTGTATCTTTTTTTTCATCTACCTCCAATAAATAAACATGTGATTTGTCCATACTTTGTTGTATCCAAACTCTTTGAAGACACTGCTGTGTTATTTGCCCGTTTTCGTCTTTGAGACAGTGATAGTAATTTGGGTCTTTGCATTGCAGAGCCATTGATGCCCTTCCCCAGTCTTCTGTGGATTCTGGACATTTCAGCACCCCTTGAGATACCACGAATTGCCACAGAATTAATGCAAGTACTTTTTGATAGGGGTGTTCCATTTTCCGTTTTCCTGCTTATGCTGTAAACAATTATTCATAATTAAAATACGAGGGTCGTTCAAAAAATAATGTAAATTGTAATCTAAATATAAGATCTGGAAAAAGTACGTTATACATATTCTTTCTAGTTTCAATCCTTCAAAGCATTCCATTTTACCCTTTACACGTTTTAGATATTTATTCCCATGTATAGAAAACCTTAGCATACTCATCTTTAGGGATGCCCCGAAGACACTGAATATCTTTTCCCATGACATAATCAACTTATAATTCAACTTTTATATCATTCATCAATCAGGTTTATCAAATCCTCTATTTTGTAAAGACATTCATTCATCATATTTTTTTTCCTCAGTAGCTCTGGACCCACAATGCCAGAATTCTATAAAATGTTGTGATGATGAAATGTTTAGTGCCTATTTACAATTTACAATTTACAATTTCTTTCAATGTAAATCTAGCATTTTCTAGCATTTTCAGAGATGTGGCACCCAGCATCTATATTTTGTGATATACCCACGAATGACAATCGACATTTTGACATTTTTATATACGTAACTCGTAACTCTACTTTTTAGCTCACCTGAGCCGAAGGCTCAAGTGAGCTTTTCTGATAAAAATTTGTCCGTTGTCTGTCGTCGTTGTCGTTGTCGTCGTCGTTGTTGTCGTTGTAAACTTTTCACATTTTCGTCTTCTTTTCAAGAACCACTGGACCAATTTCAACCAAACTTAGTACAAAGTATCCTTTGGTAAAGGGAATTCAAGTTTTTTTTCAAATGAAGGGCCGGACCCTTTTCCAAGGGGATATACATGTAATTATGAATTAGAAACATTAATGGTATTTTTAAAAATATCTTCTTCTCAAAAACCACTGGGCCAGGAAAGATGAAACTCATGTGGAATCATCTGTAGATTCAAATTTGTTCAAATCATGACCCCCGGGGGTAGGGTGGGGCTAAAATGGCCGACCAAGTTTTACATTGGAGTATATATAAAAAAAAATTTAAAATCTTCTTCTCAAGAACCACTGGGTCAGGAAAAATGTAACTCATATGGAATCATCCTCAGGTAATGTAGATTCAAGTTTGTTCAAATTATGACCTCCAGGGGTAGAGTGGAGCCAAAATGGCCTATCAAATTTTTACATAGGAAAATATAGGGAAACCTTTTAAAATCTTCTTTTCAAGTACTTCAAATCCATTATTAGTGATATTTATATGGAATCATCCTCAGGTAGTGTAGATTCTACTTTGATCAAATTATGACTCCCTGGGGGGTTAAAATTCAAGCCCCCCCCCAACCTCAGTATATTTTCATTCCTGATGTGCTTTTTCCTAGCTAGCCGATGTGCTCGGGTGAGCGATGTGGCCCCTGGACCTTTTTTTAGCACAGGAGTTCGCGTACCTATCAATTTTGCCGAAATTTTCGGAAAATAAAAAAGATACGTAATACCTATAATAATGTTATTATTATACGTATTACGTATTTTTTATTTAATGAAAATTTCGGTATAATTGTTAGGTACGCGAGCTCCTGTGCTTCTGAGTTATCGAGTCCTTCTGAAAACTATACAGCATTAAGACTATTTTTTCCTCATTTATAAATCATATATTTAATATGTATTTTCGGCAATTTGTGTAAAAAGCAGTTTTCACATGGGCTCTCATTTTCATCTTCTTTGCAGAGATCATTCATAAACAGTTCTCAGCTCAGTGTAGTGACCATGCTAACTTTAAAAGCAAATTTCTGTAATTAGCTTTTAAATAAAACTTTTTAACAGTGAAAAAATAATTTAAATACTTATACATTTATCATGATATGCTGTATATTGCATTACTTATTGAACGACCCTCGTATTTGCAGGATCCATATTAGAAGTTGTCATGGTATGTGAAATGAAAGTATGTGCCTCTTAACTGATCGAAATTAAGACTCCATTTACATGCCAAAGGTGCTTGGGGGACGGGCCCCCTCTTCCTTTTATAAAAATCCATACCCTCTGACACTAAAACAGTTCTGTTTTAGTATCAGAGGGTATGGATTTCTATAAAAGGCTAGTTATATCTTAAATTTTGGATTTTTAGTAGTAATACTTTGTAAATATGTCATAGAAAATATTTTAATAAAAAAAGTCATAGAGCCCTTGGAGTACGGAACACAGAGGGGGGATGGGGCGTCCCAAAGCACCTGTGATACATGCTAAACATGTTTATATTTTTATGATTGAATATTTTTTACTATGTGAATACACTTTCAAAAATAGTATGTATTGAGTTCAACTTATAAATTATCCTCTTTTTTTTGCAGAAATGCAGTTCCATAACCAGTGGCGGATTTAAGGGGGGGGGGGGGCGCGGTGCCAAAGTTAACGTCAAAATTGTCAAAGTTAACGTAAATCACAGTTTCGTCTAGAAAATGTAAATATGTCTACTTGGTAGACCTCATTTTTACCCTACAAAATCTTTAGAACCAAGGAGTTTCCGGGGGCTTCGCCCCTTGGGCCCCCACCAGGGCTTCGCACTGGACCCACTGGGGGCCTCAAGGCGGCCCCCAGACCCCTTGCCTACTTTTGGCGCCCCCTCTAACTTCAACTCCTGGATCCGCGCCTGATAACATAACCTGCTTTCGTTTTAAATTGTATTATTTATTAGCAACCGTTTAAAATGCAAAATACTTTTAATATGCATAACCGCTTCCAGTATAATTGGAAAACCCGAGACATTGATTTCATTTAATCGATTTATAAATGGGTTTTGACATTAATGTTGTGAAAAACTTGGAATAAATTACACATTGAAGTATAATTTTATGCTTTATGCGTAATTGTTTTGCAAGACATGGCACGTTCAACGATTGTTATCCGGGAATATCTTTATTTTAAGTTGTCTGCTAAATGACCAGTATTTACGTAGATAAAAATAACTGTGCGACAATGCACTTACCTTTAAATCGAAATCATTTTTAGAAGTGACTGCTGGTCAGACATCTTTTTCGATTTGTTCTAAACATTAGTTAGTTCAATATCTCTTTAACCGTTGGGTGGCCTAGTCGCGTTCAACCAGACACTCGGCTGTCTCTGTAAATCTCCGAGTTTACGGAGACAGCCGAGCGTATGGTTGAAACGAGACTACTGGAGGCCATTCTAATTCTAAGGTAATCAATATCATTGTTCTGTAACTCGTACCCGGAATGCAGACGGGTTCCAAAATTATACTATCTAATCGTAATGAGAAGTTTATTTTATTTTATCCTCTTTTTTCATTTTGTCTTACCTTTTTTTCTGCGTAAAGTTGGATAAAACATGACCTGATCTTAACAACTGTTCAATGGGCTCACGTCAAGATTAAACGTTTTAAAACAGGATATTTGCAGGATTTTTCAAATTTAATTAATAGTTCTTTATTGATTTAGTAAAAATCTATCTCCAAACTCAGACAAAAGCAAAGAAATTGAATTACAATGAATTAAAACAAATGCACCATTTCTCGTGTTTATCACTGTGATATACGCGAGCCAACAACAAATTATAATACCCGAGGAGTTTGCAGTAGCTCTGACAGAGGCTCTGACGAGATTTTGCGAAACTACAGTTTTTTTCATGTTATGGGTATCTTTTTCTTTAGTATATTGTCATATGTCCCTTTCGAGAAATAGCTACACTGTAATCAATAGAGCCCCGCCCTAACACAAGAACCCTTGTCCCTGGGGCCATAATTTTGGAAGAGGCATTCTTGCTCATCATAACTATGTACTTAGTAAGTTTATTTAATACCCAGGAGCATAGAAATAGATTTTCAAAGAATTAATGCATTTCAATATATAATCAATAGCCCCCCCCCCCCCAAGACCAGAACCCTCAACCCTGGGGCCATAAAATTCACAATTTTGGAAGAGGCAATCTTGCTCATCATAACTATATGTATGTGCTAAGTTAGTTTATTTAACACCCGGGAGCAGAGAAGAAAAGAAAGTTTTTTTAAGTTGTAAGAACTTGTAACCAATCCCTTTGTGTAAATACAATCATAAAATATGTTCAAAACAAGAGAAGATTTTCAAACAATTAATGCATTTTTTTTGCAAATTGTTTGCAGGAAGAAAATTTTCTTGTTTGCAGATGATTGCCGCTAGCTGCGATCTTGCGGCAAACATTGCAGCAATTGCAGCAAGCTTGCAGCAAATTCGCAGGAACCCAACATGTTTGCAGGAACATTGCAAGAAACATACACGTCAATCTAACGTTCGCAGCACGTTCGCAGGAAACATTTCATTATTCAAATGTTTGCAGGAAGTTTGCAAGTACAGTAAACAAGTCAAACATGCCCATGAAACGCAGATTGTACTGGGTCAACACAAAACTGGCCATTTTGAAATGTTGGAATTGAAGTTGTACACGTTTCAGTATTTTGTTACGAATATACATCGTTGCTAATGATTAAAAGTGCCAAACTCTGGATGTAGGTGTTTATTCTATCCATGATATCTAATTGGTAAGAAATGATTTTGATTTATTTGGATATTTGAAAGAATATTTCTAAAAAGCACATTTGAGTAACTGGTGTAAATGCTAGGTCAAATCTAAATCTGTTTCTTATAAATTTCAGTCCTCTTTTTGATATCACATATGTATACCTCTTAAAAGTATTAATGGACCCAAATCAGTTAAATGTTATCAAATTAATTAGTAAATGTGTAATCACGGAAATATTCATTAAAAATTATATGTAAAGTTCTTAAAGTTCTGTTCATATAAAAAGCTATCATGCACTTTAATTTTAAAAAGGTATGAAAACTTTGTCTAAGGCTTTGTATAGATTGTCATGCTTTCTTTGGCTACATTGCTGCAAGCTTGCAGCAATGTTTGCTGCAGACTTGCAGCAAATATTTGCAGAAAGGCGATATTTTCGGTAAGGGTAGTTAGTTTATTTGATACCCAGGAGCAGAGAAGATTTTCAGAGAATTAATGTATTTTCACTGTATAAAAAATAGAGCCCCGCCCTTACACCAGAACCTCTGACCCCGGGGCCATAAAATTCAAAAATCTTGAAAAGCCAATCTTGCTCATCATAACTATGTACTTAGTTAGTCTATTTAAAACCAAGGAGCAGAGAAGAAGATTCTCAAAGAAATAAAGCACTTTTACTATATGATTTATATAGCCCCACCCTAACACAAGAACTCCTGACCCTGGGGCCATGAATTTCACAATTTGGTAGACGAATCAATGCTGATTATCATTATGCCAACAATTTGACTGCTAGATGTCCATGACTAAAGAAAATTTTTAAAGATTACAGTAATTTTGGTGGTTTTGGCCCCATCCCTCAGGCCCTGGGGGGGGGCAGGGGCTATGAATTTCACAATTTTTGTTCCCCTTCACCCATAAATGCTGTATACCAAATTTGGTTGAAATTGGCTCAGCTGTTCAGAGAAGAAGTTGAAAATGTTCAAAAGTTTACGACCAGTTGACGACGTACGACGACGGACGAAAACAGATAGCAATAAGTCACCTGAGCTATAAAAAAAACATGCACTGATAAGACCAGACGCTTTTTCTCTTGTTGCCATATAGATTAGTTTATTAGATTTTATTTAAGAAAAGTGATTCTTAAATTTTATAATCGGAGATGAAGTGCATTTATTGTTATAGGAAATAATATGTCTTTTAAGTTCTCCTAGCTGACTCTTTTATACAACGACGTTACTTTCCAGTATGCTTCAGCCATTCTTGAATTTCATCTGGACTCTAACTTTTCTGAGAGCTTCCATTTCCAAAACTTGGGAAAATCTTAATCGCATGCACATCTTCAAATGTTGTTTTCTTAATATTAGTACAATTTGTGGATTGTTTTTGTTTGTGAACAATAATTTTGCGTTTCACAGAAAAAAAAAACTTTTGTACTTAAGGACAGATGATCCAAACATTTTTTTTGTGTGTGTGGAGGAGACAGGTTTAGAAAAGTGGATAATTCTTAGAATTTTTTCTCCTTCAAACTGGAAAATGAAATAGACTTGGAAAATATTAGAAATATTTCAATAAAATAACAAATAGGGACAAAACACACTCAATAAAGGTTTACAGATGGAAACAAATTTCAGAATATGTTACCTTCAGTTGGTGCTAAAAGAGTAATATAAACTTTAGAAAAATATACCAAGCCAGGTGATTTTTTTTTTTTTTTTTTTTTTTTTTTGAAAAGCAAAATGGTAAAAATCAGCCTGTGTGATACTGCTGATGTTTTGTCATTTTGTTTTTCCTCGTAAAATTCACCTGGCTTCGTATATTTTGGTATATAAGTCTATTTCATTTTTCAGTTCTTAATAGAAAAAATTCTAAGAATTATCCACTTTTCTAAAGTTGTTACATAATATTCAGTCTTCCCCAAAGAAAAAAAATGTTTGTATCATCTGTCCTTAACGCGCTGTATTTGATCCTTGCTTTCAAATTCATTTCGTTCTGCTTTTTTGCACAATTTAATGACAATTTAGTTTCAAAATCAGACATATATATTCGAAGTAATATTTGCCTACACGATATGTTGGAACAACGTAGATAAAAAGATACCACAGAGTCTGACACATATAATTATTTCATATTTGGATATTTTAATTGAAAAACACGTTAATGGAAATCTAACAACCAAGCTCTATGATAAACGCAATGATTTTAACTTTTCAATCGTCAACTTCCCTTACTGATGCAGCAATGCTAGTATACCTTCATCACCTGCATACGGAGGTTATATATCTCAGTTGATTCAATACACAAGAGCATGCTCTATTTATGAACAATTTCTAAAACGAGGTAATCATTGACAAACAAGTTGATGAAACAAGAATTTCAGCAGTCTCGTTTAAGGCCATCATTTTGTAAGTTCTATGGTCGATACAATGACCTTGTCAAAAAATACAATTTATCATTGAGTCAAATGCTGACTGACGTGTTTCATACTAATTGTTAGTACATTATTTATACAATGTACACTGAATTGACGACGGATTTCCGTTAATTCCCGCTCATGACAAGGAGCACACGGCGGGTGTGACCGGTCAGCAGGGAATGCTCAGTCCTCCATGGCACCTGGTCCCACCTTTGATGTTTTGTATTGTTTTATGGACTTTATCTTGAATACTGTTTGTTATCCCCATATGTTTCATCAACAGACATACATGTATTTCTTTATGCACTGAAGTTCCGCACATAAACGCCAGCTGTGGCTCGTAAAAAAGTCCAGCTGAGAAATAGTTTCTTTAAATATTTCGTTACATGTAAATATTTGGTTAAAACACATAAAAAACCTGTGCAAAATGACAAAATTGTATCGTAGGATATCAGCAATAGAAGGCTGGCCACATAAATGAGGGAACTAGAAGGGCCAAGATTGTTTTTCCTTATGTCTCCAAAAGAATTGATCATCTTTATAGAGAATTATAAAAGGAGAGTTAATTAAATTAAGAAGAAGGAGATCACAAAAATTGTCAAAATGACGTCACTTCTGGTCACACCAAAAAAGTCATAATTCATCAATAGCTCAATTTTGCACATTTGCCCTTTATGTCGATAACACGTGTTTCTGGAGACGTCTGACAATTGTTAGATAGACGATCATCTCCTAATCATATTTGTTAATGCACATGCTCGTCTAGATAAGTTTATTATATTGTTTGTGCTGTCCCTCTTCCGTCCTACCGTCTGTCCTTCCGTCGCGCTTTACAATTAACTCAATAGAAAGGTTCAAAGAAGCTATTCAAGATATTTTTATCAAACTGCATAGAAGTCAGATATTGGTTTGATTTGAACATAATTTATTATGTAATAAAATAATAAATACATAAATGGATTGGGCAGCAGGCATAGCCTATATAAGCCCTCTCCACAGGTACAAGGTTGATTAATACACATTATACTACATATAGTTACAGGTTAGATATTGATATATGTTGATACAAACTGATGTTAGCTTTTCAAATGCGTCAACATTTTTTGATATTGACCCTTCCTTTGACCTTCTTTTCTTTAATAAGTGTCTGAATCAGTATTGAATAAACAATTCAGGATAATTTTTTATTAAAAGTCATATACTAATAAATACTGATGATACCTATCAATTGTATCAAAATATTTTGACCTATTCTTACCATTTGAGATGAACCACACTTTTTTTTTAAATTTGTGATTATCTAAGTTTTAGAAAATATTGATGATAGATTTATCAAACTTCATATGCTTATGCATTTTTATGAAAAGCTTTTCAACTACAACAACATTTTTTACCCCAAGTTTTCCCTTCACCTCTCTTTTCTTAAATAAGTGTTTAGCTGAGTTTTAAATAAACCATTTAAGATATCTTTATCAAACATAATATGCTGATAATTATGTATTAGTGAGAGCTTTTCCAACTGCATCAAAATCACTTTGCACTTTTTTGTGACATTGTCAGACCTTCCTTCTCTTTAATTTTATTTTGTTTAGTTTTAATTAAAGAAACTATTCAATATATTTTTATGAGCATTCAATAAAACAAATTCGTGAGAATTTATCATAAATATCCACTTTTTTAGATTTAAATTCTAAAGGAACTGTTCGAGATATTTTCATCAGACTTCGTACTCTAATACAAATTTTCATGTTGCATAAGTTATATACACTCGGCGGAGCATTCATGTTCTAGGGACTTATTTCTAGTTTTACTTCTATTGCTTTGACGTCCATAAACGTTTCTGTAGTTTGAACACAACTTAAGATTTCTCAGTAAAAGTTTGATTTCCAAATAATTCTTAGATAATATGTGGACAGTAACAAGGAACAGTTGAGATGAAAAGATCATTTTATACTTTATTCTTGTTGCTTGTCCCTTTTGAAATTGACTTATCACTCAATTTACACAAAGTTATATAAGCCTAAGTAAGATGCTTTACTTTAAAACACGGATCTTTTGCTGCCTCACTGAAGAATGTTCGGTTAGCTTTATATATAAAACTGGGTATTTCCAGAACAAACTTTGTACCGTTATTCTTGGCATCATAGACTACCTCTGACAGCAGTCTTTTGATATTAGTCATGTCAGCCCTCTGTGAGTCAGGGGAAAATAAATCCAGAAATACATAAAGTTTCTCATTTGCCTTTGTTTTCCATTTTTCCAAAGTATTTTCGTATACAGGATATGTATTAAAGACTTCTTGTATCGTTTCAGAGATTTTTTCTTGACCCACATCCCTATATTTAACTAAAAGTAGCACTAGAATTTTGCCTTTCTTTTCACTTGTAAACGACATCACTCCAAAATTTGTCGTATCTTCACATGATCTCAAGCGACCTAAAAAGACAAATAAACAACTGAAATAACGATCTTGCTGCTTATGGTGTCTATAGTTTCATGTTTACGTTTTAATATTAAAGTACATAGTCTGTTCTTTACTGCAAATAAAAGATGGCGTGAACAAAAGTTGGTTTACAATACACTCTAAACCACACTAAAGATGACTTGTGATATGCAAAGAGACAATTATATAACTTTCTAAATTTTCTTAGTACTGACTAATACACTCCTCTTGAATTTCATTTCTTCCCTGACGGTATATTTTTTTCCTCTCATCAGGTAGGTAGTATTCGTCATGATTCAAAGGAACTTAAAAAGAAAAAAAAGTTTATTAATATAGAACCAAAATGTGTTTGTGAAACACTGATGCTTATATATACTTAATGTCACATTTTCCAAGTTTCAGATTTTATTCAGGAACTATAACAAAAAAGCCCTTATTGAAAATGCTAATTTTAATTACATTTTAATGAAATATTGTAAATCTCAACTTTCACTGACCTCATTCAATACGTAATAAAATATCAATAAGTTGTAAAACCGTTAGTATCTGGAGAACTGAGAATTGTTAAATGTTTTTTATATTTAAAAAAAATACAAATATAAATAGATCCAAAGATAAAAGAGAATTTGATTCTGAGCGTTTGATCATTTAATATATTTGCGAAAATACTTACCAAAATCTTCAGTCTGTTTTCTCTCTTTAATATTGGGTTTTGGTGTTCTTGTGCTCTCAGTTGCAATATTGTTCGAATGTGTGTATGTGCCCAAAAGCGTTTCTATACAAGAGTAAATGATAATTTTAAAATTCTTGTGTTATGCTGGTCATCTATTCCTACTAAAAATTTCTGAGGTTTTTTTTCCACCAAATATTAGCCTTTTACCTCTGACAGTCAATCGAAAATTGTATATTTTATTTTCTCCCTTCCATAAAGAGTTCACATATCAACATTTTAAGTGTTTATTTTGTTTATAAGTTATGATCCACAACCTCCATAAGAAGAACATCATTTCTCATATTAAATCACTGTGGTGATAATAAACTATTTTTAACATTTCTTTTGTGTTTTTTAGAGGTAATGAATGACCTATCAAGCTTTGTAAAGTTTACAGCATCAAAAAAATGAAACAAGAGTTTTACTTCAAAATTAAGTATCCCTATTTAACGTTGCAAATTTTCTATATTTAATAAATGTCATATTTTTCAAATATCAGTTTTGTATTCACGCACTATCAAAAATAAAACTTCTTTTTTTAATTGTAGCTGTTTTAATTCTATTTTGATAAAATTTCGTGAAGCTTAATATCACTGACTTCTATCAATATTGAATATATAATTTAAAAAATAGAAACACCACTTTTGTATCTGGAGAGATTAGAATTGTTTAATGTCTCAATAAAATATACATAAATAATATTAAATCCAATAATTCTGAAAACATTTGATTTTGGGGGTTTGAAGATTTATTAGATTTGGAGAAATACTTACCAAAGTCTTCAGTCTGTTTTCTCTCTTTAATATTGGGTTTTGGTGTTCTTGTGCTCTCAGTTGCAATATTGTTCGAATGTGTGTATGTGCCCAAAAACGTTTCTAAACAAGAGTAAACATAATTATAAATGTGCTTTGCTGTTCATCCAGTTCATCAAATAATTTGTATTCACGGTTTACGTTGTCCAAATATTGGCCTTTTACGTTTAGTGGTCAATTGAAATTGATCTTTTCATTTGTTATTTCATATGTTACCTGTTTGTTCTGTGGCGCTTTCTAAGTTGTCAGTTCGTTCGTTCTGTAAAGCTACTGGTGAATGTCCTACATGATGTAAGAATCGAAAAATCTTTTTAAAATCTATCTCAAATTTACAGTCTTTGTTATTGCAAATCATTATTGCTAATGAATCGTGCAAATTTTTTGGAATTATAATAGATCTTTACAAAATATCCAAATGAATTTCATCTGCTTTGTTAAACGGTCACTAGAGTATCGTGAATTTTTTAAACAAGACTACCTAAGGATACTTCCATATAATTATGACTAATCTTGGCTTCGTTTTCTTGATTATATATTAGCATTCATATATTTCAATATTTTTCTTCGTATATCCCATGTGAAACTTTATTCGCTCATTGTTGTCCCAACTCTCATATTCTTGGGGGTCATAATTTAAAAAAAAAAATGACATGCTTCCATATTAATTTAACCAAGCAAGATCCTGCAATCTTTGAAAGGATTTTCACTTTATCCCATACAATTCCATGTAAATTTTGATCTTCCCTTTCCTGTGGTGTATAATTTGAACAAACATCATTCTACACTTTGCTTTGTCGACGACCTTTCAAATAACAATCATAAGTTAAAACTGTTTTGGATCTATAAATCGTGAGAAGATTTCAATTGAAATTCACCTTATTTTTGCCTTTTCTCGACAATATCCTCTTGAAAGGGGATATTCCCTTCTTTGAACAACATTAAGTACCCTTTGATCAAAGATAATATTGACAAGTTTTGTTGAAATTGATTATGTTGTTCTTGAGAAAAGTAGATAAATGTGAGCTGTGTTTGACGGACATCCACAAGAGTACGAACAAAAACCGATTATATATGTAAGTCACCTGAGTGACTCAGAGATCTACAATTCAATGTACGTACCTTGATTTACGTTTCGACGTTTTAAAACAATTACCAAAAACACACTTCCGACAAGAACAAGCAGAACAATTACAGCAATACTGACGATGACATAGAGCGACAATTCCGATGATGAATTACTGGAATCGTCAAACCCGTCTTCCTGCTGGACACTAAGTGTGAAGTAAAAAAAAAATAGAGACTATTGCCGCTTAATTGCTGTAAAAATCGCTGACAATTTTAATACATTCTTTCTAAGAATTTTCAAGTTTCTTAATTTCGACATAGAGGCTACTCAATATCAGCTCAGTTCTAGCTGACATGCTCACTTTTGAGTGGACGTGTTTTTTTCTTCTTTTTCAAAACAGCCAGGATCTACGTAAAAATGTGAATAGAATTGTCAAATTCTAAATCAGGACTGAAAATTTTAGAACATATTCTTTTATTGTATTTGTATATCCGATCACCCTGTGAATATATATCATCGATATGCGTAAACTTAACTTCAACGTGTACAATTTTGAATCATTTAATAGAAAATCAATGTTTTCTTTCAAGAGGCACATCCCTTAAAAAGATATCAGTAAAAGTTAAAATTTGTTATGTACGACATCGTTATTGCATATAAATCTATGGTTCCTAATATTGCATAAATGGTAAACACATGATGCTTGTACGGATTATATATTTTTCTTATACAACATCTGCATTGTTAATTCCTTTTATAATAAAAATTATATATTTATTTACCCATTTACTTAAATAGAAAATAACTTACATAAGTAGAGTACATTTGACCAGTAAGTAAAAGGAGGGCAATTTTTGCTTGAAGGCACGCATGGTTGAACATCCATTCTTCCAGCTTCACTGTTAAACAAGGGGCACATCCCTTTAAATGATATCAGAAAAAATTAGAAATTGTTATGTACGACATCGATGAGATTCCCATAATGTTTGTCACAGAAGTTAGAGAAGCATTTATTGTACAAACCCGTTTGAATCCACACTCTTGGAAGGCATTCTTGCGTCAGTTGGTCTTTTTCGTTTCTCAGACAGTGGTAATGATTGGGCGCCTGACATCGGAGTGCACGGGAACTCTCCTCCCAGGCTTCAGAGGTAAGGGGACAGCTTTCTGTGGCTTCAATGTGCCCCAATATAATGGCTAACATCACTACATGTAGCAGCATTGTGGACGTTACCAAAAGTTTATCTTACACGTCAAAGAGTATATTTCGTATACATACTATCCATCCCTTCCGCTCCCTGGTATAATTACAGCATTGTATGATTAATCTGTCTATTTTTCTTTGAAAATTCTTTATACTAGTATATAAAACAAAAGGCTCGAAGAAACTTGCAAAGTTAATTAAAAAAAAAGAACAACAAGATGTGTTTGTAAAACACTGATGCCCCCGTATGGCAACATAGCAAAGATTAAGCTTTTCTTGAATGCAAATTTAATTAATTGGTACCAAAAGTAGGGTATTCTCACTGGAAAACAATTGTGAAATTTGTAAGTAAGCTAATGTTAAAGTTTTTTAAATACAAAAATCTCCAAGGTCAAAAGGTCAATGTAATTAGTATCAAATGAAAGGTCTTGCCACATAAAATACTTTTGTAGAGCATGAAAGCCCTAGCCCTAACCGTTCAGAAGGTATGGTCAACGTTCAATTTCTTAAAAAAGTAGGTCAAACTCAAAGGTCAAGGTCAAAGGGTCAAAGTTATTGTTATCAAATGAAAGGTCTTGTCATAATGATCAAATACGTAAGTATGAAAGCACTAGCCCTTGCTCTTTAAAAGTAATGGTCAAAGTTTGCTTTTTTAAAGTAGGTCAATCTCAAAGGTCAAGGACAAAGGGTCAAAGTTCTTGGTAACCAATGAAAGGTCTGCTCACAAGAAGTATATGTATGAAGTATGAAAGCCCCATCCTTTACCGTTCAAAAGTTATGGCCAAGGTTAAAGTTTTTTCACAAGTATGGAAATCTACAAGGTCAAGGTCAAAGGATCAAGGTTGTTGTTATCCAGTGAAAGGTCTTTAAACAAACATTACATATTTGACGTATAAATGTCCTGGTGTTCACTGTTCAAAAGATATAGCCAAAGTAAAATTTTAAAATTTTCATGTAAAAGTGGGTCAAACTCCAAGGTCAAGGTCAAAAAGTCAAATTTGGTGGTACCCAAAGACAGGTCTTGTCATAAGGATCAAATATGTAAAGTATGAAAGCACTGGCCCTAGCTCTTTTAAAGTTATGGTCAAGATTTGCTTTTTTAAAGTAGGTCAATCTCAAAGGTCAAGGTCAAAGGGTCAAAGTTCTTGGTATCCAATGAGAGGTCTTCTCACAACGATTACATGTATGAATTATGAAAGCCCCATCCTTTACCGTTCAAAAGTTATGGCCAAGGTTAAAGTTTTTTCACAAGTACGGAAATCTACAAGGTCAAGGTCAAAGGATCAAGGTTGTTGTTATCAAGTGAAAGGTCTTTTAACAAACATTACATATGTGAAGTATAAATGTCCTGGTGTTTACTGTTCAAACGATATGGCCAAAGTAAAATTTTAAAATTTTCATTTAAAAGTGGGTCAAACTCCAAGGTCAAGGTCAAAAGGTCAAATTTGGTGGTACCCAAAGACAGGTCTTGTCACAAGAAATACACATATGGAATATGAAAGTCATAGCTCCACTAAATCAAAAGTTATGGGCAAGGTTAAAGTTTTTGCGGACAAACAGACAAACAGAGAGACAGACAGAGAGACAGACCGGGAAAGCTGAGCAACAAAATAGGAACCATGTGTACGGACTGACAGGAAGGCTGACTAAGGTAGTACTGCGTTTTTATGCCCCCGTAAACGAAGTTTCGGGGGCATATAGTTTTTGTCGTGTCCGTCTGACCTTTCAATTGATAACAATAACTTTGACCCTTTGACCTTGACCTTGGAGTTTGACCTACTTTTTAAGAAAAAATAAAAATTTTACTTTGGCCATATCTTTCGAGCAGAAGTAACCATGACATTTATACTTCACATATGTAATGTTTGTTAAAAGACCTTTCACTGGATACCAACAACCTTGACCCTTTGACCTTGTAGATTTCCGTACTTGTGAAAAAACTTTAACCTTGGCCATAACCTTTAAACGGTAAGGGATAGGGCTTTCATACTTCATATATGTAATTCTTGTGAAAAGACCTTTCATTGGATATGAAGATTCTTGACCCTTTGACCTTGACCTTTGAGATTGACCTACTTAAAAAAGCAAACCTTGACCATAACTTTTAAAGACTTAGGGCTAGTGCCTTCATACTTTACATATTTGATCCTTATGACAAGACCTTTCATTTGATAACAATAACTTTGACCTTGACCTCTGAGTTTGACCTACCTTTTAAGAAATTCAACGTTGACCATAACTTCTGAACGGTTAGTGCTAGGACTTTCATGCTCTACATAAGTATTTTATGTGGCAAGACCTTTCATTTGATACTAATTACATTGACCTTGAACTTGGAGATTTTTGTACTCATTAAAAGACTTTAATATTAGCTTACTTTCAAATTTCACAATTGTTTTCCAGTGAGAATACCCTACTTTTGGTACCAAAATATTAAATATGCATTTAAAAAAAAGTTTGATTTTTGTTATTTTCGCCATACGGGGGCTTCAGTGTTTTACGAACACATCTTGTTCACTTTCTTAAGAAATGAATCCTTGGCGAAAAAAATTGATATTTTCCATGTTAAAATGGATGCAACTATTTATAAAAATATGATCTACTTTTAATTATGTGGTTCAGAAAGACTTCATTTTACTATGCAATATTTTGATCATTTGCGTCGGAAGCAAATTGAAAGTGGGGGGCTAAGTGAAAAAAAAATTGTACTTCAAAAAAAACCTGACAAGCAAAAAAAAGGGGGGGGAAAAAGGGAAATGTCAATTTCCCAAACACGAAAATCATATTTCGTACCAAAATTTTTTTTCCAAACACCACCACTTTCCCCATTTTTAACCTCTACTAAGACGTATCTGTGGAAAGTGGGTGGGGGGGGGGGGCTAAACCTACGAAGATATTTTCAATGGCTATACTAAGTATATATTTGGAAAAAAAAGTGGGGGGGGGGGGCTAAGCCCCCCTAGCACCCCCCCCCCCCGGTTCCGACGCCTATGCTGATAATAAAAAGGGACTAAATCTTATTTTATGAATTCGTTACAAGAGCGACTGTGACAATTGTATTTTCTTTTCATTGATTTCAAGATTAAATTACACACTACTGATAAATCACAAAACACAATTCAATCTAAAAATGAATTGAAAATATTTATGAAGTAAAATATACCTGAATTTATGCAGTGACAAAAAACGTACGTCCTACTTTCGTTTCTCGATTTTTTTTTTTTTTTATCAAAACCTGTTAAATAATGCACATTGATCAGGACTCTTTAAACATTTGTTTACCAATAGAACTCGATCCATTCAACTGATCTGAACTGAAATATGCATGAAAGAGCTTATCTTGACGCACCATTATTCGAGTTCAGATCGATACGACTTGAACATGATCGCGAGTCTAAACATATTTTAGAACAAAATGCCACTTTGAGTAAATGGAGTTTTTATTTTTGGTATCAGCTATATTTCGGAAAAGAAGTTTGAAATATCATCGTTCTGGTATACATGTATGTTATCTTAAAATGGAAAAAAAGTGTCATTTTAATATTTTCAGATACATTAGTTGTAGAAAGATTTGGAGTAGAGGCATTTCGTGAACCCCTATTTTTCACCTGGCGTCGTAACCATGGTAACGTACTTTACAAATAGTATGAATTCTGTTGTTCAAGATAGACAATGAACAAGACGTAAAAAAGACCTTAACACTTTGTCAGAATTAATGGAAGAAATAAAAACCATATTTATCCTTCTGTGATCAATAATTCAGAAGTGAAAATAGAATTAGACAGATTACACGATCAGTATATTTACTGGTCCCAGCTGACAAAGAATGTAACAATTTTGTTTTTGTAAGGCGCCTTATTTGAAACCCAATCCTCCCGTGCTGAGGACGACATTCTTCAAAAGAATATGTAAGTTTTGAATATTTTATTTAAATTCCCACATCCTAAATGAATTTGAATTCAGAAACTTATTTTAATCCTTACAAAAATAGACAAACTCATTTTACACCTCACTAAAATATTAACAGAAGTGAAGGAAAAACTTCAGGATTGCTATGTAAGAATATACATGTATTCGAGAAGTTGTGTAAATCAGATGAGATACTTAGAATTCCAAGGAAGTTTGGAAATTAAAAAAATTAGATAAAAATTAATATCATAAAAACTTAAGACTTTTCGACCATTCCACACGATAAATTAAAGGCAAGGCTTTTTGATATCATTGACATCTGCTTTTTCAAAAAAAATGAAATTTAATTATATTAATTGTCATTGGTCATTTGCAAAATTATTTAATAAACATTCTGATTGTACACAAAAGTACGCTGTCGTCGTTTTTTAAAACAAGAGTTTCTGTTTGACAATATCTATGTGGTTTCTGGAGACAAGGGACCCGTTTTACAAAAGAAGTTAATACAACTAAGACCATAATTTAATTCAACTCATACTTTCTTAAAGTATAATGATTCAAAAATTGTTTTAATCTTTTTTAAAAGAATTTTACAGTACATTTCAAACAAGCAATTTCAAACAGAATCATTACATTTATAAAATCTTCAAATCAACTTAAGTTTTTGGTCTTAATCGTACGTTCTTATGTGAAACGGACCCCAGGTCTTCTAACTATATGTGGAATTCCCATGGGTAACAATCACAACCCGCTATAAGCAGAACTTTATTGTATTCATATGAAGAAGAAATTATTTTTAAAAAATTTCCACACAGAAGAAAACATTTTCTGTGGCCTTCAACTCGACTTTTAGATTGATATATCGACGACTCATTAATTAACAATAGTCATTTCCATTTATAGGTCAACATGTATATATTCGTGAGCTATTAACCAGAGATAAAAACAGTCCGTTAAATTTTTTTTTCATTTTTTTTTTTAAATTTTACTAGAAAAATATGTGATTGGTAACCTTCAACAAAGCTTTCCAATAAACATGATGACTTTAATTGTTCTATCGTCATCTGTTCTTACTTAAAGCAGAAATTATACACCATTATCACCTGCATATAGGGGTTATCTTAGTTGTTTTGATACGCAAGAACATGCTGTATTAATGAACT